GTGGTGGAAAGCATTTGCACTGATTTCGCAGATATGCATGGGCGTAAACCTATGTACTAGGGTTTTCTGCGGTGGGGGAGAAACCTGGTTTCGTAGTGGTTCAATGGCGTATCAGTGATCTCTTCGTAGTCGGAAATTATCACTTTCATTTCCATCGAGCATCTGCCTGCGCGGCGTCTGTCTTCGCTGTGGATTGCGGAATCCGGCGATTCGCATCCGACTGGTATGTAAGATGTCTAATGGACGTTTCGCGTGAGTGGTAGGCAAGGTGATCTCCTTGCTCCAGCTAGGAGTCGGCGGGTGCTCCGAGGTCCAGGAGTACAAAGGGGCAGTTATATATTCAGCGTCCTTCGACTGTTAAGTGTAACCGAATATACTCCGATACGTGGCCTTGGATTTTGCGCTGAAATCCACATATGGGTACAGAGTAGGGTAGTTTCCGTATGGGGCTCTGAAGCGCTTTCGACAGTCGTATTGCAAAAGGCTTGTTAATGACGAGGTAGCCATTTGCTCCTGTGTCTGCTAGGGACTTCGTTTGCACCCCGAGTCCATTCATACTCAGGGTCATGTCGACTAAGAACTGGGTACCTCCCAGGAGTTCTCGTAAGTCTAGTCCTTGCATTTCACATTTGCGTAGACCTAGGAAGGAGCTTTCTCCTAGGCCTCGTCATTTTCCTCGAGGGATGCATCCGATTGAAGTTCCACGGCTTCTTCCCATTGTTCTTCTACCTCGGGTCATTACGGTCCATTTCCTTGATAGTAGCATTAAGGGGGCATTTGTCCTGGAAATGGCTGGGCTTGCCACACTTGAAACAGTTTCCTGAGGCGCAGGGACTGCGGTTCTCACACGTTCCGGTATGGCTAGCTTGGGGAGGAACGTGGTTTGGGTGAACAGAGTGGGTGTGGTTCGAGTCGGCTTCGACGCTGATGCCTTTGCCGTATCTGTGGTACGTGTGGACGTCCTTGCGAGGGCGGGTAGCAGATTTAATTCGTTGTTCCGGCACCATTCCTGATCGAAGGCGGTAAGTTCTTGTACCATGGTCTGGTAGTCTCCATTCCATTGGTTTTTGATGATCGCGACGCGGCTGCGGAATTGGGGAGTCAACTTGTTCCACATGTACCAAAACCATTCCGACTCGGAGACTTGTCCTGTGATAGCTGCACTTTGGAAACGAGCCTTGAACTCTGGGAAGGTTTCGCTAGCATGCCCCTTCTCTCCATTTGCAGGTTGTCGAAGAGGTTCCTGCCTGTTCCGTCTCGTTGCCTGTGAGGTAGTATGAACCTAGTAGATCCATCATCTCCTCAGCACTGCGGAACCCATGCGTAGTGGACAGGTATTGGGGCTCTAGGTAGGTCTTCGCCAGGCCGGTCGTAGTTCCCATATCAACGCTCTTCTCGAGACGTCGGTAAGGTAGTGGTCCTCATTGACTACGAGTCGGTCCCGAATCGAAGCGCTCCATTGTAGGAAGGTATGTTCTACCCCATCGCTGAGAGGAAGGATTTTCTCAGAGATGGTTGATTTCTTATAGCGATTCGGAGGGTCCTCGGTGTGCATTCGTGATGACCCTGGAATCGATGGAGAACGAGTGTTCTGAAGAGGCCACAATTGAACTGTCTCGGGGGTGTTTCGTGTGCGAGGCGTTCATTGCTCCGTAGCTTCGACTGTGGGTATGGTGGCGTCCACCGGCACTGTGGACGGGATTCTAGTCTGGGCTGCCGTAAGGATGACTAGTAGATCCTTGACCTCCTGTATCTGTGCTTCGAGGTGGGCCATTCGACTCGGGATGTCTTCGGATGGCACAGCGGTCGTAGCTGCAGTGGTGGTTTGTCTGGTAGTCATTCTGGGCAGTTGACCGTCATTGTCTTGGGTATGTTTGATGTCGGCTTTTTCGACATATTGCCTCAGGTGTGTATCGGTACCGATACGAAAGAGCTTGACTTCCGGTAGCTCGTAGCTATTAACGCTCTTGTCCACAATTTCCTCTGTGCTAGGAGGGGGTTCTTAAGGATCTCATATCCTATTTGGCGCCAACGTGTCGGCGACTTTACCAGCTTGTTCTGAAGAATCAAACCCTGATCCACTGGCTGTCCATAAGATCTCTGGAATCACGGCTATTTGAAGTCGTCAGGTCTCTCCTCCGAAACGTCACCGAGTCGCAGTCGATGATGTTGTCACGGTTCACCAAGGCATAGGGCGCCAGTTGGGTATTATGAATTAAACTCAATCTAGAGAAGAAAGGAAAGAGAAGAGGAGCACTCGAGCAGTGGCTCAATCTATATACAGCTATTGTTGTTGTGGAGTGAATTCTCTTTAGCGAGACTAGTTCTGAGAATTCACTCCACAACTGAAAACTTCGCTCCAACCCCGGAAAGCTCCCCACACCCCTGAACCCCCACTCGAGCTGCAAGCGCACTTGATATCGTAACAGATGTAACAGTAGTTCTCCTGAGTCGTTCCGGTGTGGGATATTATTTAAGTACGGCCGTCCCCGGCAGGCATGATCTTTTTTGTATAATGTAAGGACACAGGGCACCCAGCTCACAGTAATAGCATATGAGAGTGCGAGTCGGAAGCTAAACGGATGCTATCCTATAGGTCTACTACGAAGGATACAAACAAGATGATGAGGAACCCCGTTGGGTCAATCCCCTTAAGTACCTGAAACGGGTCCGACTCGGCTAACCTGCCCTAACTCTCCCCATGTGACCGTAACCTGCCCGACTCCGATGCTTTCCATCACTGAGGGCTTTGGCATCCTTACAACTACAGTTACCAAGCCTGGTTAGTCATGGAAAGTCTTGGAAAATGAGAGAACTACACTCCTTTAGCATAAATAGGATTGCCCTTTCCTTAAGAAAGGACAAGCAGACAATACAGTAAATCGACTAGCACATACTTCTACGTCTTTTCCAAGCTTCCAAGCATTGATCTTGTTATTCTCTGTTTTTGAAAAGTCAGTGAGGTGCTAACCTCTGACTTATCCCTGAGTTCTCAGACTCAACAACTTGTCTAAACCACTCCACTATATCATACACCTGATTGCTGCATTGTGGAATAGTCTAAGCTATGACCCTTTGGCTCTTTTTCCTAAGACAGTGTGTTGTCTTAGTAAAATCATCCCTTCCTTGGGTGGCTAGATTCTCACATCTGGTGCACCCACCATTACACAACAGATGCGCTATGACAGCTAAGGGCATCTTGAAAGCTTAACTAACACTTAAGCTCTAGAAGCTTTGTAGTTCTCCCACTATGATATGTGCCAGCTTACCCCTCTCCTCCACCTATAATGTCTCTTGGTCAAGAGGCGTTCAGCTAATCCCTAAGTTAGCCTTGTATATCCTTTGTGCACAGCTTGCCTTTCCTAGGAGATGGTTGACTCTTAAGAGGCTCTTTGGTCGGTTAAGATCTTAGTTGGAGTATTGTCTTTATGGATACAATACTCTTCCTTTATAAGACATTTTCTAGAATACTCAAGTGGCATCTGCAGCTTACGTACAAGTGTATAGAAGCCTTCTTAACAGCTTTTAAAGAGATAGGGAGAGTAGGGGGGATCTAGGGCTTCGTTAATGGAACCTTTCACCCCTATTAACGACTAACAGGACAAGAGGAACAGCGTCTTGTCTTTTCTGGCCATAAGCGCCTTTATGGTATTAACTATCAAGTGATAGTTATGCTAGACGGTATTATGTCGTTAGTAACAGGACCTTGGCCTAGTCTAGTTAATGACTAGACAAGCCTTAGATAGCAGTAGCCGCAGCCATCTGACCTAGAAAGCACGCTGCTAGTAGCCCCTATTCCCCTCGCCTTCTCTGATTTCCCATCCGAATTCTAGCCCACTGGTTCCTAGCCCGCTGGTCCCTAGCCCACTGGTCCCTAGCCCACTGGTCCCTAGCCCACCGTCCCTAGCCCAATTCCCCCCCCCCATCAACAAATCTAGACCAGGTAGGTAGGAAACGGCCACATCCTCCATAAGGGGGGGTTCCCATCCTTTGGATCCTGTGTGGCTATGTGGCCTGTCTGCCCCGGCAGTCACAACGCCACACGGCTTGGGTTGGGCCAACTATCACATCCGGATTGGATATACGTCCGACCGTTCTGTGGCTGCGCAGGGAAACTTTCTCACAGCGAAGGAGCGGGCAGTTCAGTCAGTCTCGGCGCATTGGGGTGTGCCGGTCCCCGTGTCGCCGGCCGCCAATCCCCGTGGTGCGGGGTGCGGACCCGACAGTTTGGGCGGGCCGCTTATTTGATGGGGGAAGGTTACACTAATGCAGGGATGGAGTTCGACCACCGGTGTATGAAGTATACAGATCATGGTATGGATTGTTTGTATCTCATTGGGGTTTCTCGTACATATACATCTAGTAGAGCTATAGTCTACCCACGCTGTTGGACTTCGAGTTTAGGGGCCGTTGCATTCCCACTTTGAGGGGCACTTTGGGGGCTATATGTTGATGAGACCAATACATCATCACGGCATGCCGCCAACTCGGACATTCCACATATTCCAAGCCTCCATGACTATGCACAGTGTGGTTGGTGCAGAACACACACCCTCCCCACTGCGCGGCCGACCACGACGGCGCGGCCGAGTCTACGCCGAATCCGCCAATCTCCGTTTCTCGATCAGTTGCCTGTGGTATGTATCTAGGCTGCAGAAGGAGGATACGACAGTGCAGTGACTTTGTACGCCGATGGTCGAACCGTGGTTCTGGGACCAAGGAGGGTGGGGTGAGAGAGCCTGTCGTTGCGTAAGGGGTATTGATTGATACATGACAGAAGTGCGGTGCAGTGGCTGCCACTTGCCTCCAGTTTCGTTGCGGGACACCGAAATGAGCACCTCGTCTCCCCGGAGTGTCACTTGAGAATCTTCCATGATCCCGGAAAGGCCATCTCTATCCACCGTTTTCAACGCCCTGCTTGTGCCATATTCGGGCCTCTGCCGGCGCTATATCCAGATTCGCGGAGTTGTGGGAAGTTGGGAGGAATGTCGAGTACATTAATTTCAATGCGTTGTCCAGACGAGCTGTGACATTGGGTCCGAAGAATAGGCCGCGGGGGTTAGAGTATGTGAAAACAATCCCTCAAAGAATGGTCACTTGATGCGGCCAACGAAGATGCCGTGTATTTGGACCCCTTGGACGATCGATCGACGGTTGTCCAAGAATCAAGAATCAAGCATCAAGAATCAAGCATCAAGCATCAAGCATCAAGCATCAAGCATCAAGCATCAAGCATCAAGCATCAAGCACCAAGGCACCAAGTAATCTTCTACATTGAGTAATTCTCCTACTATCTTTAGAGAAAACTACATCACTCGTACGCTACCAATATCACGACCATGTCAGATCCCTCTCCCCAGCCAGGCCAGTGGATTGTGGATTTGTCACTCAAGCCTATGTCACACGGCTAAACGCACAGCCGTCCCTATCCCTCTCTGTACTGTACATCTACTTCGACCGCAAGGGAGCAAGGGATCCCCAATAAGCAAAAAGACGGCATACCCTCCTAATTCAAATCTTCCCCTTTGGCGCTTCTCTGGGTAAGACCGTCGCGCCGCCGCACCGCCGCACCGCCGCACCGCCGCATCGCTGCACCGCTGCACCCGCTCCCCTAACCCAAGTGCTGCAGAACGTCCCCCACCAGTCCATACAGACACCCCTCCACACACCGCCATCATACAGCAACAACAACAGACAGCAGCAGCCACCGGCATACCTCCAGCGTTGTGCAACCTCACATCTAAGATTTCCCCGAGCCTCTCGACCCCCCCACGCCAGTCGTTAGGCAAATAACCAGTCAGACAGGCAGCGCTGCAAGATCCCCTCCCCCATTCGGGGCACACCAGATCCGCCCCCGCGCGCGCTCTTGCACTAACACGTTCGCCCGTGTGACCTGACGCCCACGAACAAGGCGTCGCAGAGCACGCGTTTCCTACTCATGCTGTCGCCTGCCGCAGCGCAACGTGTGTGCGACGCAGAGACGCAGGAGATAAAAGCCCAGTTGGTGGTAGGCGCTGCGGGTAATCCGTGCTGTTCCGTTCTGGCGTCTCTTATCGGGTGGCCCACTCAGTTGCGGCAATGCGGCGATCGGTACTAGGTCTTTCTTTCATGGGGGGTGGGGACGGCGTGGTGTGTCTAAGCGCTTGGTGACGGATCACCCCCGGAGACTGATATCCGCAAAGACCCTTGAGAGATCATCTCCATCGCAGTCCTGACAGGGGAGGTTGGCGCCACCTATTTTCAGCCCCACTTGCTTCGATCTAATAGCGCCGTGTCCACTAGGCGGCTTGATTAGAGCGGTACCTTGGTTTACTTTGGTTTACTTTGGTCAAGGTTGAGTGCAAAGTGTGACAGAAATGAGAGATGGCACTTATGTCGTCGGCGCGCTTCACCCTTCATTCCCGTTTCTACTCCAGACCCACTATGCCGCGTTCATACTTCTTCTTGGCAGCCTAACGCATATCCACAATGTATCGTCTGGAGTATCTTCCATCTTCCCTGTACCGTGTCAAGGCAAGACGTGACATTCGGCCATCAATCGAGACTTTGATTTCACTGCTGCTGTTCAGCAATGTACCTTGCTGAGCCAGCTGTCGAGCCAACAGACCCATCGCGCATGTGCCACAAGTTCCAAATTCCTGTCATCGACTGCCCTTTGCATAAATATCCCGTGCAGTTCTTCCCGTGACAATGCCCCTGTGATTCGAACTCTTTATATATTGTCCCCACTTGCTTGCCTGGCCATGAGAATGAATTATCGTTGCCAATTATCACTTCACGTTAAGACTACTCTCAGCCAGCCCACTTCATCATCAACATTCGTCATGATGTATTTCAACTCGCTGCCTCTCAATGGCCAGGAAAAAAGCCCGCGGTTTTCAATAAATCTTCTACTGAATCCAACCGAAGACGCCGCATCTCACTCTCCTCAGACTGATCCATGTGCTACGTCCCTACCATGTAGCAGGAGAGCGGCAGAAGGGTGTTTCAACTCCACCGTCGGAGTTCCCGGTGGCAACGCACCTCTCCTACCAATACGGATATCAACAACAACTACAACGCTTCCTCGCCCTCCTCAGAGAACTTCAGAAGTGGTACTACCACCACTGGGTTCTCTGGACCTGTTGACGAGCCCGGCCCCAATCCTCAGTCCACTTCTTCTTATTATCAAGACTATCAAGACTACCACCAGTTCCATCAGCATGGGAATAAATACAAGCATCACAGCAGCCCAAGCGGCTATAGCAGCTCCAGCATCTGTAGCAGCATGTCACAGAGCTCACGCTCAAGTTCTCCAACAACACCTTCACATTCAAATGTTCCTTACAGCCTTGAGCAAGTACATTTCATTCAGTACTACCGAGAGGACAAGAAAGTGCAATGGCAAGCCATCGTCCAGCCCTTCAAGAGACAGTTCCCCCGAGTTGTCTTCCATCAGAGCAGCAGCAGCAGCAACAGCCCAAAGCGCGGAAAGGGAGCCCTGGAATGCCGCTACTACCGGGCGCAAATGTTCCCCAAAATCGATGACGAGGGTAATTTCGTTCGCGACCATAATGACGAATATGAGATGGTGAACATCAAGGTGCGGGAGAGGATAAACCATCCCTACAAAGCCATTCTTGATGATTATATCAAGCTGGTAACCAGGTGTCCCGAGGAGTACTGAAGTACTCATGGACGGACGAGAAGGACAAAGCAGAGGCCAGGGATATCAGTAAGTCATTCTATGCCCGAAGCCTGTGTTGTTTACATACTAACCTATCACAGTTGCCAATCGCGCAAGACAGGGCAGAGGGAACTTCCAGGAGCTATTATTCGAGTCCGAACAACAACCTTCTGAAGCAATTTAGCAAGGAAGCTTCCTGCTTGAGCAGCAACGACGCCTGCACAAGCGTTCCCAACTGTTGGCAAGACTCTTAATATGACGCCAGACACGATTTATGACCCCAAATACCCAAATCAGGAAGACTCCGACAACTAAGATTCCCACTTCGTCCGTCGAGATGCCGTCTGTATATGAACCAATTGGCGTCTCGTCGTCTTTTTGCTGGTTGTTTTTCCTTGTAATACCCACCAAAAATGTATCATTTGGAGTTTTCGGGAACGAAAAAGGCGCGTTGGCTATCTATCACTATGCTATCGATTTTGTCCAGCACCGGCGCGTTTTAGGTCAGGCTTATATAGTGTGCAAAGCCCCACCCGGAAATTAATTCAAGATCTAAATCTAGACAAACTCGAGTGTGGTCTTAAGCACATCATTTATACAGTGATCTGTACGATTCCCTTTCCTCGTCGTTCCTGTCACTCTTGCCAGAGTAGGCCTGCATCCACGGGCGGCGGGACCATGGCTCTTTCTTGGCTTCACGCTCATCATCGCTAAACGTAGCATCATCCTCGTCGTATTCTTCATTATCCGAGGTGTTTCTATTTCGATACTGGTACGGATTAATGCCGTACTCATCATCAGACTGTACTCCTCATCCGGATAATCCGTTGAAGGGTGATTCTCCGCTATTGATCATTAGCTCAATCCTTGCATACCTGTGTCAGGTGAGGTGGAGTGCGGGGGGTCCTAAGCTAACCATTTTCGTCTTCTTCCTCGTCGTACGTATCACTATCCCTGTCCGAGTCGCCGTTGTAAAACTGATCAATGTCCGGCTGGGAATCCAAAACCAGCAAGCCAATGCTCGTCTCATTTGATTCGAGGAGAGCCTGTTCCACTGGCATGCGTATGTACGTCTCGATGATATAATTTGAGTCATCGTCGTCCACATCCATAGCTTGCATGTCGCTGTCCGCTTCAGTTCCCTGAGCAGTCACAGCGTCGGGATGGCGCTCGTGGTAGCGCAAACCTGCACCTGCCCTCGGCTTGAATCTACTTGCAGGACTTTTGGGGCCTCGGGTTCTGGCTTTAGCGGTACCGTAACTTGAGGCTCATTGCTGTCGGCAAGGTTCTTTCTGATTTCTCTAAGCGTGTAGGCTTGCATTTCCATATTAAGTCTCTCCGTACTAGCATCCCACGGTATTATATCCCCAGATGGCAGCCTTGCACCTCGGAGAGGAGCGGGTGAGTTTCTACGGGGCTTGACAGCATTGACAGGCGTAAGGCGCAGAAGGGAGACACTCGGTTTTTTACCGATCTCTTTTGACAGGCTCCTGGCTCGTCATGCGGTTTTGCGGTTCCGTCCTAGATACATCCAAAGGGGCGGGGGGTTTCGTTTCCGTAGGCGGTCCGGTCTCCGCTGCAGGAATAACCTTGCGTTCGCGAAACACCGCGATATTTGTCTTGCCAGGTGTTCTCCTTGCATTTGCACGCTCAACATTATTATTTCCCGCCCCATGCACCAGTTTTCGAGACAGGTGGAAGCGACGGGGTTCCGCAATTACTCGAGGTAATCGTGCTACGTCCGGAGCCCCTCTATTATTCGCGGGTGGCACAGCTCCAACTTCATCCTGTCTCATTGTAACGTGCCGCGTCTCCGGAGGGACAGCAGGCTGGGTGTTGCTCAGGTTTCGGCCCGGCTGGTCTCTAAATTCATCCCCTGGTTGGCTGGTTTTAACCTGTGGTGCTCTCGGGCCATTTTCTAGAGCAGATGTATATCCCGCAGAGTCCGCGACGGTGAATGCATTTGGTCGCGAGCCCTGGACGATTCGTTGTCGCTTGAATATAAACTGGCCAGCATTTCGACCCCTGGCAAGTTCATCGTGCACACCTATATATACAAGTGTCAGCAGAAACCTTCAACTGGGTTCTGTTTGTACGAGCTTACGCAAAATCTCCACAGGATCCTCAGTGGCCTTCCTCTTGATCTGGACTCTGGTTGGAGGTAACATGGTCTATTGTAAGTTGCGGACGTCGAAAACTTCCCGGATACTCAATATGGGGTATTCTGGTGATATTTGAGTAGATTATTGCGTGAAATCTGCACGGGTTGCAAGATTAACACAAAGCGACACGATTTCCCGATTCTGTTGAAGTTGAAAGTTCCATAAATTTAGCGCCTATCATGGCCCGCGATAAGCCTCTGACGCGCCCAATGTGGGTAAACAATAACCCCACCAAACAACGGTTATATCCTCAAATTAATTCCGCCATGAATAAAAATTATACATAAAGACTCCTTAAATTACTCTTTCACATGGTATTATTTGTAGGGACTTATGTACTAATGAAATAGCAATCGATTAGCTGACGATATTAGGATCTGAAGGATTAGATTGGGAAGAGTGGGGTGCCGATAGACGCTAACGCTTACTTCGATGATGACAGTTAGGGGAATTAAATATTCGAGTATGTTGTTATCTACAAGTTCATTAAATTCCATTGAATTAATTTACTACTTAAAATGTGAAATATTAATCCAATGGGCCAAAGACTGGCCCATCTGCTCTTGAGAACTAAAAAAATGCAAAAAGACTCGTCAGATTCCTGCGATTCTGGATATCTGATGAGGGAGAAAATCATGTTTTGTGATTTTGCTTTTTGGCGCTTATTTGTCGAATCCGTAACCTTTCCAAACCCAGGCCAGACTGTCCTGACAGTGGTACTTCTACTGCGCCACTGTGCCGCTATCTGGGAGGAAGACGACTGGATTTGATATATATAGGTAGTCTGGTGCTTGTCAGCTTGGTGACACCTGATTTCTGAGGGGACAATGGGTGCCTGCCAGGCCTCAGGATGAGAATGATATACATATATAGTACTCGAAGCATATTGTAGCAACATCAAACCTGAAATTCCACAAGTATAAACTGAGGTTTCTAGACAGACATATGGAACACACCTTGATCTTCAAGATCGAGAGCCCATATTTTGATCTTCGATGGTTGAAATTTGAAGCAGCCTTCTACGCAACCAGAAGTTGCTTATTGATGAGTTGCGTGGGAGCTTCGGATACACAACGGAAATAATGCAGTACGACGCAATTCAAAAGAGACGATATCATCTTCCACCCCCACAAGCAAGGTAATGTACAATTTGCACACCAGTCAGTGCTCTCTTTATATCCACATCAACTCGCAACCACACATCATCAGTGTTACGAGATGAATAGCAGCCACAGGATCTCAGCACTCTGTGATGGCTGTGCCAGCAAAGAGGCTTCCCAACTTGGGAGACACGGCTCTGTTCGAACAGGCCAAAGAGTGTTTGCATTTTCGTCATCCTGGTTTATGCACCTATCTACACCGTGTGACCAATGAACAAAGAAAAACTTACGATAGAAGACACATTTTGCTATGCCGTTCTGAAGTAAGGGAAGTAAGGGGTGTAGCAAAATTGTGAGACAGCAAGCAAACTCCTGAAACATAGAGCATTTTTGACAATCAAGTGACTTTGTGGAAAGATGCACGACTTCTTGAGAGGTTACTCAAAGCTAAGCGCCGTGGTTGATTCATACCGACGTTGCTCAAAGTCGTCGTTGACAGTTGAAAAGCGAACGCCCAATTTCTATATGTCACACGTGATCAAACTACTCCAAATCGGACTAATCCCAATATGGAACTACCAGCAATCATATGGGGTTCTACCGAGTACAACATCCTTTGATAGATATTGGCCAAGACCTTGTAAATCATGACAAGTGTCGTTATGATCCTGCACTATCGATCGCTCCTGTGACTCTCCAGCCGCCCTGGGCAAGACCACTGCCGCCCCTTCGTCGCTCGCAATTCCACCGCACCGATGATATCCATAACTAATGTGTCTGCATCTTGCTTCTCAATACAAAAAGGGTTGCTTTCCTTCCCACCTTTAGCAAGTAAGGGTAGAACGTGGCAAATCCCAGGCACAAACTGTAAACTGGCGCCACTGGAACGGCCGAACCCATCCAATCTCAACGCCACGCTCAGGATCTCACTCGCCGTATCTAATTCTCCCACTCGAATTGTCAGCTCTATGGTTAATCGCCGATATAACAGGAATGAATGCCTCGACTTCCATGCTTCGATAGAGATGTAATCCACACCCCCCCCCAATGAAGCTTGAGGTTGCGCATAGAGCTTCATTGCGGCAGCGAGGGCTTCCCGCATTCTCTCCTGCGAAGGGTACACTCCTTGATTCTCCTCTTTAGCCAGAAGACGGGAGCACATCACCAGTACGGCAAGATTATCAGTCTCGCACCAGATGTGCGGATTCGTCTTTCGTTCTCAACCTCCACCCTCCTCCCAGCTGTCTTCATCCATCCCGCCCCCCGCTCCCTCAAATCCCCCCAACCACACCCAAAAATATCTTCTAACGCACCCCAGCGGCCTCATATCCGGCGAATCCCCCACCAGAGAAAAACACAATGTCCCCGCCATCCACCATCTACCCACCAACACGCACATCATAGACTCCACCCCCATCGCCAAGTTCCTCGAGGCCACATACCCCACCCCACCCCTCCCTCTAACCTCCTCGCTAGACGGCACCATCGAGTTACAGGCACGCTCTGTCGTCGGCCCAACGTTCCGCGCCTCAGTGGTGCCGCGCGAGATCAACATCCTCTCGCTCAGGTCACAGGAGTACTTCCGGCGCACGCGCGAGGCGGCGCTAGGGCGTAAGCTCGAGGATTGCTTGATGCGGAGGAGGAGAGCTGGAAGGCTGTCTGTGAGGGAATGAGGGTGGGTGAGCTGATGAGGACGAATAAGGCGGAGGGGCCGTTTGTGTTGGGTGCGCGACCGAGTTATACGGATTTCTTTATTGCGGGGTCGTTGCAGTTGGCGAGGGTGGTGGACGAGGGTGGCGGATGAGGGTGTTTTTGAGAGGCATATGAAGTATGTTAGGTATAAGGAGGTTTATGAGGCTTGTTTGCCTTAACGTAAGTCGTGGCGTACTGGCGGTAGTGGGGTGGTTAGAACCACCCCATCAAACTTACCATCTTACCTACCCAACTCCATTATGGTACGTCGAAAGAGCGTAGAAGCTCAAGAGCGTAATATTGCAATAGATCAAGCTATATTAGCTATTCATTCCAAACAATATAAGTCAGTGTACGCAGCTGCCAAAGCACTTGACACTTGACCTCCCAGAACAATCTATCCGTCGTCGTATGAATGGAGGCCACACACGCGTAGAAGCGCGTCAAAAACAACAACTATTATCAAAAACGCAAGAAGAAACACTCTTAAAGTGGATTAGAGAGCTAACAAGTAGCGGATATGCACCTAGCCACCGAATACTACGAGAAATTGCAGAAGAGGTTCGAGCAGACCATTGCCAGGTTTTTAATTTACACGACCAACTTCACAATCAACTTCACGAACAATTTCAACCTATACCACACCTTCCATTAGGACAAGATTAGGTTCCACACTTTATTAAACGACATCCACATCTACAAGTATGACTAGGAAGACAAATTGAAGTGCAAAGGATGAGTGGAGTTACAAAACAAGTCGTACAAGGGTGGTTTGACGCATATAAGGTGTCATACTGATATTCGTTGCACTCAGTTTGCTATGCCATTTGCTTCCACAAACACTCTTTGCTTACCGTGACCCTATGCAATAGGGTTAGTTCTAACAATTATAGGGATGGCAAAAGGCTTGTTTAGGATAACAAGGCTTAGTGGAACCCATGGTATTTAATGCTTCATTATGCTCTTAACAATAAGATAAAGAGCGCTATTAATATATACTGTCATAAAGAGTATTTTGGCTTTCTTAAGATGAATTGCTTAAGAGCAACTAGATAGTACTACAGCATATCTATGACTTCCTTTATTTCTTTTATAAAGCAACATTGTTCATAGAAGGCTAGGAAGCTACACTAGAACAGGTATTGTTACCTATAGAGTTCCTTCTTAAGTAATTAGAAAAGGGGAAAGAGATGTTTAAGGATGATTTAATGCTTAGACTATGTTTTAACTCTACATAGGAGGTTATGAATAAGTATTATTCACTTACTAAGTAGTAAATAATAACGTACATGTACTCGGTGTTCCACCCACTCGCTTCGCTCGTAGGTGGCGACAGCAAGTTGTGCGTGCGACAGCAAGATGTGCGTACACCGCTATTTTGATATATAGAAAAAATAATAGTATTCTTCATAACGTAGTATCTACAATGCCTCAAAATAACGATCCTACTATGATTGCTCGCCTTAATGAGGCCCAACAGTTCTTCTTAAAACAACCAAGTACATATACAATTGCTTGGGTTGCAAATAAATTCAATGTCAACCGTGAGACACTCCGATGTCGTATTACGAGTACTACGTCTCCTCAATTACCCCACGGAGGTAGCAATCGAGTCTTATCTCAATCGCAAGAGACCGCGGTCTGTCAATTCATATACGACCAACTTGAGCGCGGGGTCCCTGCCAACCGATCTATGATACTACGGGCAGTTGCAGACTTACGACCTAATCGTACGATACCATCACAACGGTGGCTACAACGCTTTCTAAAAGCACACCCCGAATTTCATACAATTCACACGAAGACGTTAAATACACATCGGAAGCAAGCACAAAAGAAAGAGGTGTTTGAGGAATTCTTTCTCACATATAACGCCCTTATTACAAAACATAACATTAAGCCATATAATTTATGGAATGTTGATGAGACAGGCTATATGATTGGGTGTTATAAGTCTACGGCTGTTATTGTACCAATCGGTGTAAAGCAGTGGACTGTTGATAATCCTGAGAATCGGCTCTCTGTTACTGTAATTGAGGCAGTAAATGCAAGTGGTGCTGCACTTGCAGAAGCTATCATTATCCCTGGCAAACTTCATATGGATTCATGGTACAATGATGACCTTGAGCCAAATGCTCTCATTATTGTAAATGAGAGCGGGTATTCAAACGACGACATTGCAATCCAATACCTTATGCATTTTATCCAACTATCTGCAGAGCATATGGCACCAGATGATACTCGCCTCTTATTACTTGACGGCCATGACTCTCATAAAACAGAGCGCTTTCTTACATTAGCAGAAGAGCATAACATTGTTATTTGCTGCCTTCCTGCTCATACAACACATCTATTACAACCTCTTGATGTAGCGGTTTTTAAGCAGTGCAAACACTTTCATCAAAAGGCACTTGATCAAGCAGTACGTAGCTACGACTATGAGTATAAGCTACGTACGTTCCTTTCAGACCTCCCGCAAATCCGACGGCAATCTCTAACTGTCCGTACAATTCAATCTGGTTGGAGAAATACAGGACTATATCCATATAATCCTCCACTTGTAATTGACAAGATACAAGAGACTCGGAATCAAACACCTGATTATGAGCCATTTGCTTCATATAATATTATCTCAACACCGAAAACAACTATGCAAAGTGTGCAAGCGGTTGAACATTGGCAGAAGAGAGCAGAGGAAGCTTTCTCATCGCCTTCAAGAGAAGGGTTTCAATCATTTGCACGTGGAACTACAGTTGTTCTACACCGGGCAGAGCTCTATAAGACCGAGCTAGATATTATGACTCTACGTGCAGTAGAGCAGAAGGCAGCAAAGGCAAGGGCACGGAAATCACTACAGAAAGGAGGGCAGTTATATGCATCAGATGCACGGAAAATGCGGGAAGAGAAGAAAGCAAAGTTGCAAGCAAAAGCAGACGCAAGAGCAGCAAGGGAATCGGACCAAGTAGTAAAGCAGCTACAAGCGCAAGCACGTAAAATCGAAATTGAAGAGCGTAAGGTTGAGAGGAAGCGGGTAGCAGAGCGGAAGAAGGAAGGGTTGAAATCAAAAGTGATCATTTTACGGTATAGTAAGGATCAAAGTGATAGTAGCAATAGTGGCAGTAGCGATAGTGATAGTAGTTCTATTGATTTTATGTTTTAATTATATAGTTATATAGTTGATATATAAGGCGTCTTTTTCTTCGTTTTATGTGTCGCACATCTTGCTGTCGCACGCACAACTTGCTGTCGCCACCTACGAGCGAAGCGAGTGGGTGGAACACCGAGTATAGCGAAAGCGCCAAACAAGCGAAAGCGCCAAAATGATGCGGTGACCAAACCCCCCAACTAAATGTTAAATTCCTCAACAACAAAACATGCCCCATAAAAACGATGAAAGCCAATTAGTGCTAGCTATCCAGGCTATGCAAAGCGACCCAAAGTTACGCCTTCGAATTGCTGCTAGGATCTATTCTGTGGACCACCGCAAGCTAGGTCGTCGTCTAGATGGTGTACCTTCACGACGCGATATCCAAGCCAACTCACGGAAATTAACTAACCTAGAAGAGTCCGTCCTTGTTCAGTATATACTCGACCTAGCTGCCAAAGGGTTTCCTCCTCGGCTGTCTGTTGTTGAAGATATGGCAAGTCGACTACTTGCAACACGCGACGCGTCACGCGTTGGGTCGCGTTGGGCTTCAAACTTTGTTAAGCGGCGTGTAGAGCTCCAGACACGCTTTCAGCGCAAATACGACTACCAGAGGGCTAAGTGCGAAGATCCAGAAGTTATTAATGGCTGGTTTGAGCTTGTGCGTAACACAATTGCGAAATATGGTATCGATGAAGCAGATATCTACAACTTTGATGAGACTGGGTTTATGATGGGCGTTATCTCAACTGCTATGGTTGTAACAAGCTCAGACGGGCGGGCAAAAGCAAAGAAGGTACAGCCTGGTAATCGGGAATGGGTTACAGTAATCCAAGGCGTTAGTTCTCAAGGTTGGGCAGTACCACCATTTATCATTGTTGCAGGCAAAAACCACCTTACATCTTGGTATGAGAATAGTGGATTTTCAAGCGATTGGGTGATTTCTGTTACTGAAAATGGCTGGACTACAAACGAGAGAGGCATGGATTGGATTCAGCACTTTGAGAAGCATACAAAGGCCCGGAGTGTTGGTGGTTATCGCTTGTTAGTCCTTGATGGTCATGAGAGCCACCACTCAGATGAGTTTGAGGAGTACTGCAAGGAACACAACATTATTACGCTTTGTATGCCTGCTCACTCTTCTCATCTACTCCAGCCACTTGATGTTGGCTGTTTCGGCCCGTTAAAGCAGGCCTATGGTCGGCAAATTGAAGATATGATGCAGGCTCATATTTCTCATATTACAAAGGATGACTTCTTTCCTGCCTTCCACACTGCATTTAACACTACAATGACGGAAAGTAACATTTGAGGCGGGTTCCGAGGGGCAGGGCTTCTTCCATTTGACCCTGAGAGAGTGATATCTACACTTGATCTTAAGTTAAGGACACCAACGCCTCCAAGCTCCCGCCCAGGTACTGCTCAACCTTGGGTTTCTCAGACACCAAACAACCCAATTGAAGCTATGTCACAGTCTACATTTATTAAAACTCGGATTTCACGCCATCAAAATAGCTCTCCAACCTCAATCTATGCAGCTGTTGACCAGTTTACAAAGGGTGCATCGCAAATAATGCATCAATTAGCACTGCTAAAGGGAGAGAACCAAAACCTACGACAGGCAAATGAAGTACTAAGCAAGCGCCGGAGAGCTAGGAAAACACGACTACAGCAAGGAGGATCACTTAGTCAACAAGGGGCGCAAGAGCTACAGGATGAGAGGGATGTTGTGCAGCAGGTAGAGCAGGAAATAAGGGCAAGCCGTGGTCGGAAGCCAAGGGAAGAAACCCGTGCCCGTCACTGTGGCAAGTGTGGTGAGACTGGGCACAATGCGCGCACGTGTCAGATTGTAATAGACACCTCTGAGGAAGAGGACTCTGAGTAGTTTCAATTGATTTCTAATGTTGTGGTAGATTTATCGCAATGTTTGTCATGAGGGTAGATAATTTTGGCGCTTTCGCTTGTTTGGCGCTTTCGCTATACATGTACGTTATATTAAACTAATTATATGATTTATATTGCTTTTCTTTAATATATAACTATAATATATTATAACGTACATGTATAACAAACCGGCCAAACAAGCGAACCGGCCAATCCATTTTACACCTTAAATCACGAATTTCATAACTTAATATCTCAACAACCCTTTAATAATAAGTTATAAAATATGTACTTAGCCTTTTATAAGCATTTAAAGTACTCTATTTGATTTTTAAAGCAATTAGTATTGTAGTTATTAAGATACTAAGAATTAGGTCAAAGTGGGGGCTAAAACTCAATATCTTAATAACTACAATACTAATTGCTTTAAAAATCAAATAGAGTACTTTAAATGCTTATAAAAGGCTAAGTACATATTTTTATAACTTATTATTAAAGGGTTGTTGAGATATTAAGTTATGAAATTCGTGATTTAAGGTATAAAATGGATTGGCCGGTTCGCTTGTTTGGCCGGTTCGTTATACATGTACGTTATTGCTAAGCTTTATTAGTGTTATATGATTGTAATGCAATATGGTCTTCTGCTATATGATTGTAATACAATATAGGAATTTTATTCTAATATATTGCTATCAAGACTTGATTGATATCACACCTTGCCCTCCCCTTACACTATAGAAATCTCCTTATCTCAAACCCGCAAGCCTTTCTCTCCCTTTCTTCCCATTTCCGTCCCATACTGGCTGACTATACGGGCTGGAATAGTGTTGACGTGAAAAAAAGGCATGAGAGCCCACGAGAAAAACCCTTCTGTTAATAAAGGCGAGACCGAAAAAAGAAAGCCCCACTGCACCTACTAGCTCCACCAAGCCAACCAATCACTGTTCTTGCCAGACTGAGCATATTATAGTATGGGTGATAGTGTCTGCCCGTCGCGCAGGGACAATGTCAACACAAAAAACAAATGCAAAAGAGCTCTCAAAAAACACCCTTGGCAAGAACACCAGACAGAAAGAAAGAAAGCACCTACTGCACTTACCCCTAATCCCCATCCAACCAACCATCACCCTCCTCCCCATCAACTTACTGTGCGCTCCAAGATCTCATACCCAGCGCCGCATCCTCTCTTCCCCTCTTCCCGACACTGCCGCTTACCTGCCACCCCCATTCCCACCTTCTACCCATCGAGCCACACCCCAACACCTGCCGCCCCCCATCCGGCCCCCAAGTCGGCACTTTACCAGCCACCCCCTATGACACCCCTCTCCCACCCCTCACACCCTGCTCAGACATGCCATCCCATCCACACACGTCATTGTCATACTGACATTCGTTGCACTCAGTTTGCTAATCAAAACTCAAGAGCAAAACTTGGAAATCTCCTCCTCACACCTACAAGTCACTATACATATTTTGGCTTATCACACCAACAACAAGAGCAATACTACTCAACGATTGCTACAACCATCTATGATTCATTACATGACATCACTCATACTACCACATGACATATCTCTACCAACTAGAGGCCTAGGAGCATGAACGATAGCTCTAAAAGCTCCTACGAACCTCTATGATTCATTACATGTCATCGCTCTTTAGTTACCCACAAGATTGGTTAAGTTATGACATAATTTGTCTATGACATAATTTGTCTATGACATAATTTGTCTATAGGGGTACTCTGACCTTGGACCTCCTTTTACTTCCTATAGGCTACAAACCTAAGAGATGGTTCTATGGGATTCTCTTACGTCGACTACAGTTACCAAGCCTGGTAATCATGGAAAGTCTTGGAAAATGAGAAAACTACACTCCTTTAGCATAAATAGGATTGCCCTTTCCTTAAGAAAGGGCAAGCAGACAATACAGTAAATCGACTATCACATACTTCCACGTCTTTTCCAAGCTTCCAAGCATTCATCTTGTTACTCCTTGTTTCTGAAAAGTCAGTGAGGTGTTAACCTCTGACTTACCCCTGAGTTCCCAGACTCAACATTTGTTGCAACTTGTCTGAACCACTTCACTACATCACACACCTGATTGCTGCGTTGTGGAATAGTCTAAGCTACGACCCTTTGGCTCTGTTTTCTAAGACAGTGTGTTGTCTTAGTAAATTCATCCCTTCCTTGGGTGGCAAGATTCTCACATCTGGTGCACCCACCATTACAGTCATCCCTGTTACAATAACAGCTCACAGCTTGTCACAGCTTGTTATGGTTGTTATGGTTGTTATGGGATTACGGGTGTAGCCTTCGCCACCAAGGTTACAACCACTAAGCAGACAACTGTATGATTCAATCTTATGTTACGATGGTCCTAGACTGGGCATCATGATCTCTATGACCATCGTAACATAAGATTGAATCTCATTTCTTCATTAGCTCTTCCTGAGCAAGAAACCAGAAACCAGCACAAACCTTCGAGCAACAGAACCCTCAAACCAGACACCAACACAAATCTTCGAGCAACAGAACCTCCAGAACCAGAAATCGAAACTCAGACCAAGACATTGCTCTTTAGCAAAGAACTAGATCTAGATACAGAACCAGAAAACCCAGACACAAATACAGCCAAAATCGATTCCAGAACTACACATTGAACCAGAACCAGAACCAGAACACCAGAACATCAAATCCAGAAACTACAAGTCAACTCAATACCACACTCAAGCATCAGAACCCAGAACATTATATCAGCAGAATTAGACCTTTCCGTGATGCTCCCTCAACAAGGATATAACCGTGACAGAAGTGTGCTCCTCTTGAGTGGCTCGTACGGCCGACAACTGCATAATAGGGCCTTCACCACATACGTGTCTAGTTCCTGATACTGACAAAGTCAGAAGAAGATCCTGACCTCGACCAATTCTAAGGACAAGAAGTGAAGCCTGCTATAATGGCACGCGATGCACAAGGACATGTCATCCGTGACAGGAGTCAAGATCAAGGACAAGAAACCCAATCTACTACAAGCAATGAGGACTGCTTAGAAAGCCACACCTACAATAGAAGGGAAACACTACTCGAGGATCCAGAACACCAAGCTACCCTTCGCATTTGGGAGCTTAAAGACCTCTCAGTTGTCAGCATCTGGAGCCAAGCCCAGAGAGAGGCTGCGCTTCAAATCCAAGAGCAGATGATGGAGGATTATGATCATGTCACCCAGCTCTACAATACTACCCTCCAGAAGAGTCGAGGAGAAGGCTACATATGATGACAATATCAGCCAGCTACAAGAGGTTATCCAAGCTCATGAGCAGACAATGGCAGGACAAGCTGCTGTTGTGAAATATCTTGAAAATGAGAAGTCAAAAAGCAGCACTACTCGCAATAGAGAATCACACCAGAAATCCACCAAGATCCCAGACCCTCCTACTCTTACAGAGGGAATAGAGCCAGCTTATGATGATTGGAGCATTAAGATAAAGATGAAGCTTGAGGCGAACCTTGACCATTTTCCTACTCCAGCCCTTCAGATGGGTTATGTGCAAAGCAGACTAGGTGGCAAAGCCTCCTCTCACATCAATCCACGCCTTCGATCTACTCAGAACAAGTTTCAAACTGTAGAGGAAATGTTTGAAGTCCTAGACAGAGTCTTCAGTGATCCAGACTGCCGCTTTACTGCACAACGCGCATATAGAAAGCTCTTAAAACAAGGATAACTTTGCTACCTTTTGGGCAGAGTTTCAGAGACTCACTGTTGAACTGGATTACTCAGAAGAGACCCTCATTGATGACCTCTGCCATAAGGTTAATACGAAGATGCAGACTGCTTTAATAGCAGAGATAAACCCAAGCTCTCTTCATGCCTTTGCACAAAAGTGCTTATTGATCAGAATATCCAGCAACTTCAAATCCAAGACGCTCGCACTGTCCCTCGAGTTATTCAGCAAGCCTTTAAGCCACAAGACTTTCACAGTAAGGCTAGCAGCCTACTACAAACCCACCTGCTAGCTTTAGACCACCAAGACTATATCGTGCACCACATCAGAACCCTGCAACTGAGAAGCTAATGCAGGAAGGCCGCTGCTTCCATTGCCAGCAAACTGGACACCGAGCTTATGAATGTCCTACCAAGAATGCTCAAGTCCACGAAGTTAGCACTTATGATGCTCCCACTTTCGGGAAAAGAATAACCTTCAGACAAGACGTCCCTGAAGGTGTCATGACAGCCAGAATTGCAACTTCTTCCTCAAGCTTTGGATTAGATCCAGATACTCCATTCATAGTTACTTGTATGATAGGAAAATCAAAAATCAAAGCACAAGCCCTTATCGATACTGGAGCTACTGGAGGAAACTTTGTGAATGCTGTTGATGCAGAATGAATTTGTGAGATAGAAGGCATATCACCAGTAGAGCTTTTAAAGCCACGCCCTATTCAAGGCTTTGATGGAACAGCAGCCCCTCCCATCACTCATGCTATATACCCTCGCCTACAGGTCCAAGACCATGTTGAAAGTCTATGCCTCTATTCATCACCACTCTTGGGAAACATTCTGTCATTCTTGGGAAGGCTTGGATGAAGCAACATGGACTTATACTTGATATGGTAAATGACCAAGTCATATTTACTAAAGGTCATTGCCAGCACACTACACCAACGAATACTCAAAATCGAAACCTACATTGCCCCCAAGTCAATAAGCAAATACAAGATGACAAATCTTGGAAGCCAGCCCTCCAACCTCCTTATAAGAACAAGAACACATGCACTGTCGCAATGATTGGAGCCGCACCATTTAATATGCTTCGGAAGCAGAAGGGAGCTAAGGTTTTTGCAGTATCATTTAAAAATATACTCGCTGAACAGGCAAAGGAGGAAGCGAAGGAAATCAACCCAAAACTGATCCTCCCAAAGGAGTTCCATAAATATCTCGATGTGTTCTCAAAGCAGGCTGCAGATGAACTCCCCCCTCACCGATATGCAGACCACCACATCGTCTTAGAACAAGATTCGAAATTAGGACATGCGCCCCTTTACAACATGTCAAAGGAGGAACTTGATCTTGTGAAGAAATATATTGACGACAATTGTCGAAAGGATTTATTGAAGCTAGCAAAGCTCCCTTTGCCTCTCCTGTCCTTTTCGTCTGCAAACCAGGTGGCGGACTTCGATTCTCTGTGTTGATTACCGCAAGCTAAATGCCATCACAAGAAAAGACTCATACCCACTACCCCTCATCGATGAAACATTGGCTCAGATCACAGGTGCCAAATATCTTACAAAGATTGACATTCGTCATGCATTTAATCGGATCCGTATGCAAACAAAAGAGGATGAAGATCTCACTACCTTTAAGACGAGATTTGGATCATACAAGTACAAGGTCCTCCCTTTTGGCCTTACAAATGGCCCTGCAACATTCCAGCGATATATGAACAAAACCCTTATGGAATACATAAACAATTTGTTACAGCATATATGGATGATCTCCTCATCTATAGTGCAAATCGATCTGAGCATACCCAGCACGTGCAAATGGTTTTACAGAAGCTCCGCGAAGCTGGACTACAAGCAGACATTGCAAAATGTGAATTCTATGTCCAAGAAACAAAATTCCTAGGGCTTATCATTGGAATCTATGGCATGAGAATGGACCCTGCAAAAGTCCAAACTATACTTGAATGGAAAGCACCAAGGTTGCTCCGAGATACACAAGCCTTCATTGGGTTCTGTGTGTTCTACCGCGGTTTATAAGAAGCTACTCTACTATTATGAAGCCACTGGTAAATCTCACAAGGAAAGGTCAAATATTTGAATGAACCAAGCCTGCCAGGCAGCCTTTGAGCTAATTAAAAAGACTGTTACAGAAGCACCTGTGCTACAACACTTCGACCGGGACAAAACAGCGTATGTAGAAGCAGACGCCTCAGACGGCTATAGTAACCCTCACAGTTTAGATGTTCAGAAACTACACGAGGGTACTACCTTACAAGGCACTCCTTAAAAGTGTATCCAGCGTGGCTGGAGTGCCAACTACATAATTAGCAATGCTATGACAAGGAGCTATTGGCCATCATTAGATGCTTCAAAGCATGGAGACCAGAAGTTGAGGGCACAGCAATGCCAGTACAAGTTTTGTCAGACCACAAGAGTCTTGAATATTTCATGAGCACAAAAAAGCTTACTAGGCGGCAAGCTCGATGGGCAGAATTCCTCTCGATACAATTTCCAAATCATATATCGACCTGGCAAGCAGAACGGAAAAGCAGATGCATTAACTCGAAGACCAGGGGATAGACCAGAAGGGAATGAAGAAGATGACCGTCAAAAACAACAGCTTCAAACTCTATTACCTCTTAAGAGACTCCATCCGGATCTCGCACAGCAGCTAGAACTCAAAAGTCAAGGGCAGGCACAAGATGCTCAACTTGCACCAATCCTACCACAAGATCAAAGCATCCATGACCAGATTCAAGCTGCGCAGCTCCAGGATGAATTATGCAAGGATACAATCCGAAGACTACAGAACAACGAGCGAGATAGCCCAAGTATAGCCTTAGCACATTGCGAAGAGAGAAATGGACTCTTACTCTACCAAAATCGAGTTTGGATCCCAGAGGACATCCAAGTTAAACTCCTACAAGAAGTTCATGACCAGCCAGCAATGGGGCACCCTGGAATTGGAAAAATGGTTCGCATCATTAAGAGACAGTACTACTGGCCTCGTATGGACAAGACTATCACTCAATATGTAAAGAATTGCCATATCTGCAAGAGATCAAAACAACCCGGATGCATACAATGGACTCCTACAACCAATCCCAATTGGAAGCCAACCATGGAAGGACATATCACTCTATTTTATTACAGGATTACCATTATGTGAAGGAAACAATTCTATCCTTGTAGTAGTTACAAAAGAGCGCCATTTTATCCCATGCTTTGCAGGTAAAGAAGGCACTACAGCAGAAGCTACAGCGAGGTTACTACTCCAGCATGTATGGAAACACCATGGTTTACCAAATTCCATCATCTCAGACAGAGGGCCCCAGTTTGTAGCTGTAGTGTGGAAATCCTCTGCAAAGTTTGGAAAGTTACAATCAAATTGTCTACAGCCTTCCACCCAGAAACGGACAGGCAAACTGAGAGGTTTAATGCAGAACTCGAGCGATATTTACGGGCTCATGTCAACTATCTCCAAGACAACTGGGTTGAATATCTTTGCATGGCTGAATTCACAGCAAATGCCCTTCCATCAGACTCAACAAAAGTTAGCCCATTTTTTGCAAACAAGGTTTTCGAGCCAAGAATGAGCTTTGATATAGAGGATAGCACGTTCCAAACTGCCCTTCAAGAACATAAGGACATAGCTCAAAACATGAAAGATATTTGGGAATTCCTACAAGACCAGATCGCCCTCTCACAAACCCGAATGGAGCACTTTGCAAATCAAAACAGGAAGCCAGCACCAAGATATAAGATAGGAGACCGAGTCTGGCTTTCTACTCGGAATATCAAAACCCAACGACCCTCAAAGAAACTTGACCATAAGCAAGTTGGTCCATTTCAAATCCTTGAGCAAATTGGGAATGTTGCATACCGACTCCAGCTACCACCAAGCATGAATATACACCCTGTGTTTC